TCCCGATACCCCCACCATCAACGGCCACTACATCCTCACACTGGACCAACTCCTACTCCCTACACACCTCAGCATTTTTCTCAACGCCAATATGAACAGCACCTATTACCCAAGCAAAGCTCGTTACTTCCTCATATTCAAGACGGCCTACACAAAATGGCTCAAACTACAAGGGCTTCCACCATCCCTCGTTCAGCATTTACAACCCTTCCTTGAGCACCAATGGCGCCTTCACAACACACACCTCAAGCAACAACCCCGCTTTACGGCCCGCCTGCTTCGTCAACTCCAAGAACATTTGGGCAAACACACATTACTCCACCATGCCGATCATGAGCTCCAACAACTTCGGCTGTTTTGCCCTCGCCAATATTTCGCTGGCGCCTTGAACACCTGGCAATCCCCCGAACTTTTCGAACCACTTCCCTACATCACTGCCGCCAACATCCACGACCACCTGGCCGCCACTGTCCCCCCCATCCTGCGCACTCGCTACAAGTGGGGCTTCCGAAAAGACTTCAACATCCCCTACGGTGTTGTCCACCTCAAGGAGAAGAAGCACTGGCAAAAAGGCCGTACAATCATATCATACTTCCAATCACTAAGTGGCAACCTGCTACGCATCACCAGCCGTGCCCTTGACATTATCCTCCAACACCTCTACCCTCAACATCCAGGCCAAATGTCCATTCCCCAGCTTTGGCACCACTTTCACAGTTACCTCACCCAAACCCCACCAGACATCTCACTACACGCCACCAACGATGACCTGGTCGGCTTTTTCAACTCCGTCCCCCAGCACCGACTCATCGATGCAGTCCACTCCCTCGTCCACCACTGGCAACAACAGCAATCCACACACACACCTTAACGGTGGATGTCCAGGCCACCGGCAATCCTTTCCACCACTCACACATTGGCAGACACCATCCGAAACACCCTACCCAACGCACCATCCAGACTTCCGACATTACCACCATCGTGGCTTTCGCCCTCAACACATGCATTTTCCGGGCTTGCAACAACACTTACAAACAAATCCGAGGGGCCGGGATTGGATCCCAGCTCTCTCCAGCCCTATGCAACGTTGCCATCACCCTCATTGAGCATTCCTGGCATCAGATCCACAACAACCTCCTTCAACACACAGACCTCCACTTTACTTACTATCGCTATGTCGACAACCGCTTCATTGTCCACAACGAACATTTCCTTCAACACCCGGCTATCCAAACCCTTATCCACCACAATTTCTTTGGCGACCCTGTGGAACTAGAACCGGTGGAGGATTTTCATCTCCTCGGTTTCAACATCGACCTCCCACAACGCACCATCACCTTATACATGCAACCTTCTCAACCCTGGAAAATCCGGGACTCCACCACTGCCGGGAGCCAGCGCTTGGCTCTATCAGGCCTCCAATCACGACTTCACACCATTCGAAAATACACATTTCCACCCTCCAGCGCTGACGCTGCTGCGGCCGAACTCGTGAATCTATATGTCCAAAAGGGGCATAACTATCACGCCTGCCACCGGTTTTTGAAAAAAGCGCCGAAAGCGGCGACCTGTGTGTGTCCAACCCTGGACAAAGGGTCTTCCACCACCACTCTTTCCACTTTACATGGGCAGGGGGACACGGCGCCAGATTGCAGACCGTGTCTAACAAAGCTATGCAATCTGGTGGGATATCCAGCTTGGCCAGCTGGACGTACCTGCTCGTTCTTTCACAAGCTGTTACACCACTCTTCCGCGTTTTGCTTCATGGTCCTTCATGTTTCCACCCCCAAACCTCAGTTTTGCAGCTGATTTGAGCCGTCAGTTCACCACCGCCGATATGCAGCCGAGTCAAGCGAAACAATCGATGTTCAAACACTTCCAAGTTGTCGGACTCTTCGCCATGCTGTTCTATCGCCTTCCTTCCCAACGTGACAATTGCGTTAACTGAAAACCCAAGTTCGAAGTGTATCTATGTCTGTGTGTGTATGAGTCTCTGTCTGTGTGTGTGTCCGAGTAAGTTGAGGCAGTGCGTGGGTCTCTGTGTGTGATGTGTGTGTATGAGTCCCTGTCTGTGTGTGTGTCTATGTCTGCTGCTGGTGAAGGTCTTCACTGTATATATAGTGAACGAAGTAGCGCGCAGGCCTCCCAAACCCCCCACCGGCGGCCAAGCGGTGACAGCTCAGCTCATCGTCGTGAGCATTTGAGCTGCTGGTAAGGGCAAATGGTGAATTTCTTCACTGTCGACAAAGTGAAGGAAGTAGCTCGCAGGCCTCCCACCCGGTAAAGGGAAATAGTAAAACACACAGCTCTTCTGTCTGGGAGCCCGACCCTCGCTGAGACGTAACATCCACCTTAGAGTGTCCATTCCTTGAGAAGCAGCGTGCACGCCTCCAGGACATCTCACTGAAAAAAGCGAGCTGGAATGAAAATAGAAAATTGCTGAGGCAGCTACGCAACAAGTTTGTCGAAGCAGTGACCTGTCAGAGGAGGGTTGCAGAATCTCCGCAGAGGGTTGCGCGCACACCGGACACATCGCACTCTCGCCTGCATTTCGCGCACTCGACACGCACGATATCCGCAGAGGTTTTGCTCGCGTGCAGGATAAATCGCACTCTCGCCTGCATTTCGCACACTCGACACGGACCGGACAAATCGCACTCTCGCCTGCATTTCGCGCACTCGACGCCCACGATCTCCGCAGAGGGCTGCGCGGGCATCGGACCAATCGCACTCTCGCCTGCATTTCGCGCACTCGACACGCACGATCTCCGCAGAGGGTTGCGCGGGCATGGGACAAATCGCACTCTCGCCTGCATTTCGCGCACTCGACACGCACGATCTCCGCAGAGGGTTTCGCGGTAATTTCACAAATCGCGCTCTCGCCTGCATTTTGCGCACTCGACGCCCACGATCTCCGCAGAGGGTTGCGCGGTAATTTCACAAATCGCGCTCCCGCCTGCATTTCGCGCACTCGACATGCACGATCTCCGGAGAGGGTTGCCCGCGTGCAGGACAAATCGCACTCTCGCCTGCATTTTGCGCACTCGACGCGGACGATCTCCGCAGAGGGTTATCCCGGGACCGGACAAATCGCACTCTCGCCTGCATTTCGCGCACTCGACACGCACGATCTCCGCAGAGGGTTGTCCGGGGACCGGACAATCGCACTCTCGCCTGCATTTCGCGCACTCGACACGCACGATCTCCGCAGAGGGTTGCATTTTCGGTTGACGCTGTTCGTCCCACCCTCCGCCTTTAAAAGAGAATTTATAAATGGGAAATATTTTTCATTAGGACATCTCCCGTGAAAGTCTTCCATACTCACACTTGCATACTTGGACTGGGATTGCACTGGGATACTTACACTGGCATTACACTTGCATACTTTTGCACCGGATACTCCCTGCATGCTTTCACTCTTACACTTACACTGGGATACGTATAGAAGTGTAACTGTTCAAGTGTAAGTGTGGAAGTGTCAGTGTGTAAGTGTAAGTGTAGAAGTGTCAGTGTTCAAGAGATTTTCCGGAAGAACCCTTCGCAATGCTTTCGGGAAAAACAGTTTCACGTACAAAAACCCTGATTTTGGGGAAGGTCTTTGATGGTTTGTCGGGCCCCTGGTAGACAATGTAGTAGACGATAGTAGACTCTTGGTGATGTTTCAACGCCCCCCATAATGAAGAGGTTGCGCATTCCAGGTTTGGAGTTATTTACTTTTTAATCAATAGTCTACATGTCACTAGCTGACCCTCATTTGAGAGTTGAAGTACATGTGGCCCCATCCACCTTCCATCAGCGCGGCCAGCGTCATCACGTCATCCCAAGAACCATGCATGGCACATGTGGGTCGTGTAGGATTAATTGTGGGAGTCGAAGAATTGGACACGTTTAGGCAAGCACACGTGCATCAGGATAGAGGACTTGTTCCCAACTTGGGTTGCTTGGATAGATAGATCATCGAGAAGTATTCGATTCTATATGATTTTGATTCCTAAAGGATGGTTTTTGCCTGCCTTTGGTGATGTTGAGACCAGATGCATGCGTGTTTTACACTGAGTGTTCCAACGCATCGCATGCGGCGCATCATGGCGCCAATCCCTTTCTTCGACATGGGCCCATGGAATCATATAGTCGACTTGGTTCACCATACAGCCGGACCAACAGCGTTAAAGTCAGCTTTCAAACCTACACGTTCTTTGTGGCGGCAGGTTTTCCGTGGGCCGGAGGACCTCGGGAATTGGGGGAGGACGCAGCCCTGGCTGTTTCAGTCTCAGTTCTTCGGTTTTGGACCATGTGTCGGACTCTGATCCGTTGACCCGTGGTGTTCCGGTGTTTGGTAAACGTTCTTTTCACTGGAACCAGGCTGATCACTTTTTTTCGTTAGCCTGTGCCTAAGCGCCTAAGCTGGGCTCCAGCTTTTTGGGCTAATGATGACCTCACTGCCATAAAAGATAAAGGGGCCACAGGATGGCTGAGGGAAGACTTTCAACGGAGCGATCCCGTTTATTTGTTTCTACCGCTCTCCCATGTTCCAATACAGGCAATCCACTACACCAAAGCACCATGCAGTGATTTCAAAAATGAATCAGCTGAATTTGAAACCCATGTTCCAAGAGCTATGTCGCAGTTTCTGGCAGAAAGGAGTCAACCTGCTTTGTGCCCACACCGTGGCGAAAACGGTGGATGGACGCTGAACCCGGAACGAGACCTGGCTCCGCCTGCGATCCGCGTGGAGGTGGAGGGTGACAGGTGTCAGAGAGATACACGTTCCGAAGCCGTTCAAAGGGGTTTCGGACATCAAAATAGGACCAACCTTTGCGTCCCAAACCAGCAAACGGTTTGCGTCGTGAGGAATAAGAACGCACCATTCACAAAGCAATTCGACGCAAATGCCACAAACCTTTGCATTAGTCCATCCAACACCCGCGTCTTGAGAATAATCATGAACCATCCTTGAAGGACCAAGTGTGGTCAACTCGCGTTGCAAAAATTGTTGACCAAGCGCGGGGGGCCCGCTGGATGGACTGGCGAAAACCGCCCTAACGGGAAGGCGCGGCGGTTTGGGGAGGTGCTCCGAGTTTTGGTGACCCGAAGGTGCTCCGAGCAGGGAGCCTCCAACATCCCAAAATGGCGTCCGGAACTGGAGAACGAAACTCTTCGCCGTCCTCTCACACGGATTCTCCCGGGCACTCTCGAGCAAAAGGCGGCCACTTTCGGCGAAAGAGTTCGCCTCTGGGATGAGAGGAAGGAGACCTCGCCTTGGCTGTTGCAATACGGACCATCCCGGCCCCCTTAGGGATCCAAGTTCCTTCTCAGGTACGGTGATTGGAGACACAGTTTCAGTATGTAACAGTATGTCGGTTTGGAGGGTCCAAGTACCTTCTGAGAAGGTACTTGGATCCCTAGGGCATGGATCCTAAAGACCTTTTTCGATCACAGGATGAGCTCGACACGTGCGAGCAAAGCTTGATCGAAGGTGGACATGGCATGGACTCGATTTGAACTTTTGTTTTGGGTCGGAAGAGGTCCATCAAGAGTTCTGGAGGTCCATCAGATCTAATTGAGTTGATTGATGTAACTGTACCTGGATCGTGCTGCACCATTTCTGCCTTACTTTAGCTGTTTCTGAAACGATGAAACGACAGAACTTTTGCAGAGTTGGAAGATCCAGGTATTCCAGGGTGCCATGGGGAACTCTAGGAATCTGCACCTCAAGCTTTCCCCCTAAAAGAGGTGCCTTCCAGCCTAGCAGCACTGTGTCCAGAGCGATCATCCCCATGGGTCCTCTTTTACCATCCGCACGCGGAAAACGGGCCGGGAAAACGACCGATGTGTTCCGGTTTCCGCCTGTGCGAGTGCGGCGCGGTTGGCTCTTCCTGCCCTATACACACATCATACATTGGGGTTATTGGAAAAGGCTCCATGAATGTCATGTAGGCATATATATCCTTTATCCTTATAGTGTATGGCATAAATACCATACGCAAGACGCATTACGGGGTGTTTGGGAATAACTTTTTACATCGGATTTCTCTTTCGCATGTTGTTCGAACAGCGATGCTCAGCGGTGCTTCTTCTTCGCACAGGTCATGACGGAGCTCAGGCGGGAGCGCAAAGCTCTCGGCTTCGGATTGGTTTCCAGGACATCACGGTGTTCCATTCCGAAACCATCGGTTTCCATGTCTTTTTCTTCTTTTTTTTGTCCCCTTAAACCAATTGACCGCGAAGCGTTCATCATTTGTTTGGTGCAAACATGAGGGACAGTGCTATAGGTATCTTTGCATTTGAGGTGTTGTTCAATGCGGTCTACACAAACACTAACATTGAGGGGTTTTAGGTGTTCTTCAGATTTCTTAAGTATATTGTCATATATTATATTGTCCCTCTCATTAGGTGTTCCTGAATGTTCTCAGATTTTTATATTCGGTTTCCTTGGGTGTTCATTGCACTTTCTTGGCCCACGACTACCTCCAATGAACAAGCTAATCAAGCCCGTCCGAAAGAGAGCCTGCAGCACACGGCCCATCCACTGAGACATGACACAGGTTTCAAAGAGAGGTCCTTGCGAAACACGAGAAAGGAGTGCTTGGTCGTCCGGTCGCACGTAACCTCTCGGGGGTCGGACCACTCGGTCGACCTGGATGACCGGGACCAGCGACCGACGGGGTCACTGGTGGTTTATACACACCCTGTTGACGATGGTCTTTCATGTACTTGCCAATCCATCATCACATATAGTAGCAAGAAGCTACTAGTAACAAGGGCATCGCTACTAGTAACAAGGGCATCACTACTAGTAACAAGGGCATCACTACTAGTAACAAGGGCATCGCTACTAGTAACAAGGGCATGACTACTAGTAACAAGGGCATCACTACTAGTAACAAGGGCATCACTACTAGTAACAAGGGCATCGCTACTAGTAACAAGGGCATCGCTACTAGTAACAAGGGCATCGCTACTAGTAACAAGGGCATCACTACTAGTAACAAGGGCATCGCTACTAGTAACAAGGGCATTACTACTAGTAGCAAGGGCATTACTACTAGTAGCAAGGGCATCACTACTAGTAGCAAGGGCATCGCTACTAGTAACAAGGGCATCGCTACTAGTAATAAGGGCATCCCTACTAGTAACAAGGGCATCGCTGCTAGTAACAAGGGCATCGCTGCTAGTAACAAGGGCATCCCTGCTAGTAACAAGGACATCGCTACTAGTAACAAGGGCATCGCTACT